ACTGTATGTCCTGTGGGGTGGAGCCCTGTGTGTCAGAGGCTCCTGGATTATGTCGTTTATTTATATTTTTATGCAGTTAAGTGTGGGACCCGGTTGGGAATCTGCTCTATTAATCCCAAATCGAGTTCCACGTCACCCACCCCGTTTGGGGGGCGTGACAATTATCACAAGAATTTTTCATAACCAAAAACGCTAACACAAAGCCCAATAACCAAAAATTTATCCCCTGGACATTAGGTTTTTTGGTACCATTAATAACCATAAGTAAATTATCATTCTTAGCAAAAAATTTTCAATGTTCTCTACTGTTCATGGGCGTGCATCCATGGTGAAAATGAGGAGAAAAATTGAAATTTTAACTTAGAAGAGTGAATAGCAAGCTCCGGTGACGCTAATCAACTTTCATGACCGGAAAATTTATCATAATTATTGTATGAGATAAAATTTCTTGAAATCCTTTGTAATATTAATATGAATATGTTTATGATAAGTATTTGTTGATATAAATATGGAATAGCAAGTTATATGATAAAGTTTAAAAATTTATGAGGTATGATGTAGTTACCGATTTTCAGACTGTATTTAAGAATGAGGTACGGAACACTGTGTTAAACCCACAAGTGGGTAAACACATGAATATTAAGGTTAGGAAATGGAAAAGAATTGAAAAACATAATTCTAGGATTTTAGAAACAATCAGAATGAAAAACAGACGAAAAAGGGGTTCGGAGAGCCGGACCGAGAAAATTGAGGTTTTTGACCGAATAGGGTTGACCAAGTTACAATTTATTGACCAATATTCGATTAATAAGTCACCCTTGAAAGGATAGTCAAGGTTGAACAAAGTTGACTAACTATCCGAAAAACGCGGGTAAAACGCATACCGAATATGAATTTAACTGAACCAAAATAAAATAGTTATTAGAAATGGACGGTTGAGATTTAAGGTGAAAAATTAGATGAAGGGCTGAGATTGAGGCATGTGGAATGCAAGGTAGCCGGCCAAGCATAGTGAAGAAGGAAAGAAAAGAGATTTTTTGTGAAATTTTGTAAAAAGGTCCCTCAAAAGTGCTAAAATTATATTTTAGTCCTCCCACTTTATTATGTCCGGTTTTTAAGAGATAAAAATACCACCAAATGTTCATTTTTCATGCTAAGAATGGAGACAACTCAGCCAAAGAGAAAGGAAGAAAAAAAAAATTCACCCAAAGTGAGAAAAACGAGTTTTGATCAAAATTGACGAAACGACACCGCTAGTTCGCGTCACTAAGGATTTCTCTTCATTCTCTAAGGTAAATTTCGGTTATCTTTTCACTTTTTTCTACCTTGCCTGCACGTTTAAGTATGGGTAAAAGCATGAAATTTTTTTGCTTAAGATGATGATTAAGCTTGTGGTTGTTAAGAACTTCAAAATCTAGTGATTAAGGAGGAATTCTAGGTTAATTGACCTTTGTTTCTAGAAATTCTTGGTAAGGAGAATTTATGTGGAAATATGGAGAAACCCTAGAATTGTGATGTTATTGAGGATTAATGGAAAGAGAAAGAATAAGAATTGTGTTTGATGGTGGAAATAACAGATAAAATGAGCTAAGGTTAGCTCGGGATACTTAGGAAAATAGGCGGAATTCTGCTGAAATTTAGTTTGAGCATTTTGAACTAAACCGGTTTTCATAAGGAATAAGGGATTAAGATGTGAAAAGTAAGTCAATTTGATAATCGATGATGTATAGAAACTGAACACAATGAGAATTCACATATTTGGACTAAAACTGGAAATTAAGCTCATGACTGAGGAAGGTGCACGATTTTAGTGCAAATTCTTGAGATAGGGAATATTTTAGGATTGAATACCAAACATAAGGATTGTAGACCTTTCCAAATCGAACGGTTTTAGTGCAAATTTTAATATAATTATTTATCTTAGATTTTGAATTGAACGATCAGAAATTTATGTAATAGGATCGATTCACGATCGAAGTCAGAAAGCATCAAGTGAGACAAAGGACGCAACACTAGCAAAACTTATGTAAGTATCAATAGTTTTTCTTGTCTACAACACGAATAAATTTATTTCTCTATGTTGCTCAATACGAGCATATTGTAGACTAAATGTATGCTAGAATGTGAAAGATGACTTCTGAATGTTGGATACAATGTTATCCATGTATCTACAAGACTTAAGTAGCAGTAGAATTTAATTCTGTGAAAAATATGTATCGACGTCAAGTCGAGGTCAAGTTAAGACAAAAAGTTAAACTTTAACGAAAAGTCAATCTCATGACAAATTGCTCAAAAATGCACAAAGTCATAAGATTTAACTAAAGTTATCGTTTCAATTAGAGAAATTGATAAATGGTAAGAGATCAAACATCCTGTTTGTACCAGCCTTCGAAGGAAAGGTTATTATGAGACTATGAAAGAAATGAAACCGTGACTGAGTTGGATTGGTTAGCTACCACACTCGTCACTGGTTATGCACGCTATGGTACAACAGGATAGGGCCCATATGAAGTAAAAGACAACAAAATGAAAAATAGAAACCGTTCCATATAAGGGTACAGTATCTATAAAGAAGAATGAAAAGAAGGAAAAACACAATATGAAAGTCGTTCAGAACGTAAAAATACAATGTGAACGACTTAAGAGAGATGAAAACTGAACAAAGTGTGTAATGAAAGAAGAAGAACATAAGCCATACATGTCCTAGTAGTACATAGTGTCTTAGGATATATGACATGAATACATATATGGGTATGCATAATTACTGCATCTATTATGACCTATTGTTACTTGCTGAGCGAAAGCTCATGAAGTTTGTTCGTGTTGTAGGAAGCTTGGGTAAGGCACCGGCCCCCTGAAACTTGTTGCTGGGCATGCATAGAGGATGTAGCAGCGAAGTGTGGGCAAGTGGGTAATGGATGTATCACGTGTTTTGAAAACGCTGCTGAGCTTTATGTGTATAAAGTAAATAATGTTTTATGAATATAGATGAGTTATGTAACGAAAGTTGAGTTTACGAGACAGTGAGGCTCTTCATAGCAACCTCAAGTCACAAGGTATGATTAATGTATCTAAATGCTATAGCATTAACGGAATGCATAGCAAAATGCTACAACATTAAGACGTATGAATGGTTGAAAATAATTAGCCTGAATTTTTAAGAGGTTATAATTAAAAAGTAGTATTAAAAAGTAATAGAGGATGAGTAATGCTAAGTATGAACGTAGGATGATGATCAAAAGTTAGGGTCGTCACATCAACGGTAGTTTTCCACCGATTTCAATTTGAACTTATTTTTCTGACTTTGGGATTTTTTTTTCTCTCTTGGCTGAATGTTCTTTGGTTCTTTTGCATGGAAAATGAACATTTTGGTTGTATTTTTTTCCTTTTAAAACGTTCCCAAAAGAGATGAGGGACCTAGGTGTAATTTTGACACTTTCTAGGGTTTTTTTTTTTTTTTGCAAAAAAAAACTCAAAAGATCTCTTTGCTTCTCCCTTAAGTTGGCTGGCCCTTATCCTTCACTTTCCATGTGTCCTAATCTCAGCCCTCCATCTATTAATCACTTTAAACCTCAACCGTTCATTTTTAGTAACTATCTTATTCCAGTTAAGTTTAATTCCTATCCGGTGTGCGTTTTACCTATGTTTTTCGGACAGTCGGTTAACTTGGTCAACTTTACTCAACCTTGACTAACTTTTCAAGACTGACCTATTGGCCGACTCTTAGTCAACAAATTTTGACTCGGTCAACCCTAATCGGTCGAAAACCCTATTTTCTCGATTCGGCCCTCCGAATCTCTTTTTCGTCAATTTTTCATTCTGATTGTTTCTAAAACCCACCCTAGAATTGATGTTTTTTAATTCTTTTTCATTTCTTAAACTTAATATTCATGTGTTTGTCTTTTTATGGGAATAACACAACATTCCGTGCTTTTTTCTTGATTACGGTCTGAAATTCGGTAACTGCATTATAGTTTAAAATTTTTTGACTTTTAGCTTGTACTTTGCTATTCAATATTAATATCAACAAATACTTATCATAAAAGTATTCATATTTATAATACAGAGAATTCAAAGAAATTTCATGTTATAGAATAATTTTTTCAAAAAATTTTCCGATCATGACAACCACACACACATATATACATGTATATATATACACGTCCACATAAGACACATCCAGACCAATATACATATATAAATACATTAATTGCAATTATGTCCCCAGTTTTCTAAATATACATATATTTACCCTATTATATATTAATTTACTACACCCTTATTTTTCTAAATATTTTGTTGGTTTTTCTCCTTATTTTTTGTTATCTAAAAACTAACTTGATATGTGGGTAGCGTTATCAAACTACCCACGTTGTCTCTAACTAGTACGAAGTGTTGTGTAATTTCTGACCGCATATTTTAATTTCCAGAAGGTATTGTTATACGTAACCGCTTGTCTAACTTTTTTTTTATGAGAAGTGTCGTTTTATGCGACCGTTCGTTTTAATTATTTTATTTATGTTGATCTTTTAATCTATTTTAGTTTTTCTTTTAATCTATTATTATTGCTCTTAAATCACACTTTAAATAATCATTAAGTGTATTCCTGCACAAAGCTAAAAAAAAAATCATATGGATAAGAGAGAGAGAGAGAGCTCTCCACTCCATTATCTTTCCATTCCAAATACAATATATAATTCACAGTGAAATCCAGCTCCGAACTCCTTCAAAGAGGACATACCACTAACCACTAATATTTTCTGATCGGCTCCACACGCTTCCACTAATAAAAGATTAATTGATTAAACGGCCTAGTATTCAATAAAACATATCACAAGTGAAAAAAAAAAAAAGCAAATTGGTCTTGGGCTTAGCAAAGTTTATCTATAAATACCAACCAATATGTTGCATATATTGGTATCAAGGACTAAACTAAGAGAGTGAACGTATAAGAAAGTGATCAATTGGTGGGTTTTAGTTTTTCTTGTCTATATTGCAATATGGAAGCCATACAACTAGCCTTTCTTGTGATTCTAGCGATGGGTATGCCTGCAAACGGTCAACTAAAAACTGGGTTTTACTTTTCTTCATGTCCAAAAGTAGAGAATATAGTCAGGTCCACCGTTGCATCACACTTCAACAAAGATCCCTCCGTCGCACCCGGCTTGCTTCGGCTTCATTTCCATGACTGCTTTGTTCAGGTTTCTTCCTCATTAACTCTTCTATGATCATGTCCTCACATGTGTTTAATAAAAACACTTATTTGTGCACCCCAAAAACTTGATTAATACTGGGCATGTTTAGTACACCATATAAGCATTCCATATTGTATTGTTTAATAGTAATACAATGTTTGGTGACACTTATATATTATATAATTTAATACTAGATTTAAAATTAATACAATACAAAGTGTGATATCTAATACCGAAAAAAAACCTATGTACTAGACCGTATTATACAATTTAACTTAAAATATCATATTAAAAATATATAAAATATTTCACAAATATCAAGGTTTGGGGTTGGGTTTTGGGACCGATATTATGGTTGAGTTTCGGGATTAGGGTGATGTTGGGTTTGTTTTTCAAAAAAATATATTTTGGCCCCTATGCTTTTCAAAAATTATATTTTTGACCCCTAACCTTTTTAAAAATGATGTTTTCACCCGAATTAAATTTTTCAAAATTATATTTTTGCCCCTTAATTTTTTTAAAATTATAATTTGACCCTATTTTTCAAATTTTTTTTTTTGTAAAAAGACCGCTATGTAACAACTCTACTTTCTCCCAAATGTTGGGTTCGGGTCGAGATTACAGTCGAATTAGGTTATGTTTAGGCTTAAATTTTATCTTATTATAAACTAATACATAAATAGATTATAATGATAAAAATAGTATAATATTTAATAATACCACCAACCAAACACTGTATCCTATAAAAATTATACAATGTATTACAATACTATACGATAAAATAGAGTACAATATAATATAATACGGTGCACCAAACATGCACTTATAAATAAGTACTTTTATGCAGGGTTGTGATGGTTCGGTCATGATTTCTGGATCCGCTTCCGAAAGGACTGCATTTGCTAACTTGGGACTAAGAGGATTTGAAGTGATTGATGATGCGAAAGAACAACTAGAGGCTTTGTGCCCTGGTGTTGTCTCTTGTGCTGATATACTTGCATTAGCTGCTCGTGACGCTGTTGACTTGGTAATATATACATATATATATATATATATTCGATTATACTCTACTATATATATTTTTCAATTATACTTGTATGAAATACTTCCAGTAAGGGCAGGATTAAAAAAAAGGTTAATTTCAATTCTGGCCCCAAAAAAATAGAGTTTGTCTTATTTTGCTCCTTACATTTGAGATTGGCACGAAACTGGTCCCTAAACTTTTCATGTATTACAAGTTTGGTACTTCCGTTAATTGAACAACATTTTTTAAACAACTTTAATCACACACGAGTCTGGTGACTAGTAGATAAAAGAAAATGTAGGACAGCTAGCGATGGTAATCCGGGGTTGCTAGAAAAAGAAAAGGTGACATTTAGGGTTAGATCAGGAAAGAAAAAATTGTGCGTTTTAGATTATTTTACGAAGTTTTGGAGTCCACTTAGTTCAAGTTTATTGTAATACCTTTATCAAGCAGTCACATGATCCCCATGCACTTAAAATTAACTTTTATTTCAAATATAAAATTACATGATTAATGGATTTTGTTTAATGGGGTGTTCTTGCTTGGTTATGGCAGAGTGATGGTCCAAGCTGGTCAGTGCCCACAGGTAGAAGAGATGGGAGGGTGTCTTTGGCATCCCAAGTCTCTAATTTGCCTTCTCCTCTTGATTCAATACCTGTTCAGCTCCAAAAGTTTGCTGCTAAAGGCCTTGACGATCATGATCTTGTAACGCTAGTTGGTATGACACCCTGACTTTATTGTGCATGCACACTACAATTATATTTACTTTTAAATTAAGGAATATAACATCATATAACACTACATAACATCATGACTTAATAGGTGATTGACACTACAATTATAGTTACTTTTAAAGGGAATATAACAACATAGCATGAGACTATTTAACTCCATAACTTAATTGTGCATAGGCACTATTGTTATATTTGTGGATATAAATAAAGTGAGTCCATATCAAATGTGGCACCATTTGTTTTTTTGAGCACCACGTAATACTTGGTCAGCATTAATATTGCTCGAGTTCTGCAACAATTTGAGTCAACAATTAATGTTAATTCCGAACTTTGTTCTAGGTTACAGCAGTAGATGGGGTCCAAAAACTTTTAATATAAATTGATAATTTTCTTTATTATTTGGAAGTAAAGTCGCGTCCACTGCCACAGATGTCAACAACATTAATGGTAGGGATTAATAGTACTGACCTTTTTTTTTTTTTTTAAACAGCAATTAATTAACTTTTCGTTTAGTTTCATAAGAAAAAAGTTTAAATATTGGACAGAATACACAATAATTAATGATAAATTTAATGATTTATCACTGATTTGTCAGCATCAACTAATAATTAATTTATATTGGTTAGTAATTAATCAATTTCAATCAATAAATTACCAATTGGTAAATTAATAATAAATTGATTTATCACTGATTAGCTACCATAAGAAAATAGTCATTTTCGTAAAAATAAAAAATAACATTTATCTAAAACAAAATAAAAAGATCGGTCATTTATTAAAAATAGTGGCCAACAGGAGTTTGCCTGATTTTCCCAATTCATAACTATTTGTTAATCTGTTTTTGTTTAGGGGCACATACCATAGGCCAAACCAGCTGCAGATTCATGAGTTACCGTCTCTACAACTTCACATCTACCGGCAACTCCGACCCAACCATAAACCCATCATTCCTTTCACAGCTCCAAACCATTTGCCCCAAAAATGACGATGGCTCACAAAGAATTGCTTTGGACAAGGACAGTCAAACCAATTTTGATGTCAGTTTTTTCAAGAACGTGCGTGATGGGAATGGAGTTTTGGAGTCGGATCAGAGGCTGTGGGGAGACCAAGAAACTCGCCGGATTGTCCAGAATTATGCGGGCAACATTAGGGGATTGTTGGGTTTTAGATTTGATTATGAGTTTTCTAAAGCTATGGTTAAAATGGGCGCTATTGAGGTGAAAACTGGCTACCAAGGAGAGATTAGAAAAGTGTGTTCCAAAGTCAATTAATTAATTACATACATAATATTGTAATACATAAAGAACCTGCATGTTTTGTTGATAGCTGATAGGTGTGTTGCAAAGAAGACAACAAAAAATGTTTAAGAACTTAATGGATTGTTAAATTTGCTACTTGTGACATGGATTTTGAATAAAAATAAACAGAAATTGCACTACCAATTTAAAAATAAGTAATTCTATATAATTCGATTTGCACTTAAATCGGGATTAGAGGTGGGAGGGAGAGGCACTGCGTTGCCCACCCCACTTCTAATTCCGATTCGACTTCTAATCGGGATGAACAACATTTTTCTATAATAAACCTAGTTTAGGGATCGTGCATGTGCCATGTAGTGTGTCATATGATAGAAAACAAAAAATTGTTGGGTGAATTATTTACATGGAGAGGTATTAAGACGATTAAAGAAAGTTATCAAAAGATGTTAGAATATATCGTAAGTTTACTCCTCCCAATTTGAGTTTTCTAAAAACCACGACAATTATGGGATTATAGGAGTATTCAAAGGAGAAACAATCAGAAATTTTATTATATTTGTTCAGAAAAAAAAGAATGTGATTATAAGAAAATCTGTACATATATTCTACTATATGGGAATTTGAGAAACAATGATTAAAAATGACGTATTTGAAAAGTTTACAATAAAAGGCTAGCATATATAGAAAAAATATATTAACGAGAAAATTTGAAAATACATGTTTTTTTCTTAAAAGAAAAAAAAAAGAATAAGCAAACATACAACCATGTATTCAACCTCCAAAGGACGAAGTACAAAAGATGTGTGTGTGTGTGTGTGTGTGTTTTTTTTTTTTTTTCTTTTGAAATACAAAAGTTGTGTTTTGATTGAACAACTTAAATAATTTACAAAAAGAAACCTTTAGACGCATTTGAAAAAACTTAAGGCAGTAGGGCAATTAATTAATAACATGTTTATTAGCGCATATTTGAGAAAATAATATTTTGGAAGATTGCATAAAAAATTTTGAAGTAAGAACTATTCTATTTGTTAATTGGGTAATTATCAATCTAGTATCATTGCATAAACCTTGTGACTGATTAAGAATTCCTAGTAACATAATAAGAATTTTAAGTTTCAGTTTTAGTTCACGTGGTGGTAAGCTATTGAAATTTAGTGTGTGCAAAAATTCGAGCGGATATAAAAGATTTAATTCATCAAGGTTTCTAGAAGAAGAGATAATTGTATAATAACTATAATAAATTTTTTCTTCTGTAGGCACTAAAGATAATATGTAATCATTTATTTCATCTGTAGTTTTATTTCTAGGTGTTACAATTGCACGGATTTTAATATAGTTAATACTTTTATAATTGTTTTGAAATCATCATATATTGTGTCCGAAATATATTTAATAAGATTTTTATCATATTGTATTAAATATTGTTCAGGTATATTAATCCAGGTAGCATCTTTATTTCTAGGACCTTTTATTCCATCAATCGTTCCATTTCCTATATTTAATATCCATTCAGACAATTTAGCAATTTCAGTTTGTTCATCAACAAAGGTGTATGGAATTTTTTAATCTCATATTTTCTGTCAATGGTAATACACGAAAATATGTCCAAAGATAAGAATTACTTATACTTGCATCAATAATGTTATCTTTTGTACCTCTTGGAATAATAGGTAAAATTTGCCTAAAGTCACCACCTAAAATAACTGTCATTCCTCCAAAAGGACGACTAAAATTATTTATGAGAGCTTGCATTGTTTTATCTAAAGCTTCAAAACAATATTTATTATTCATTGGTGCTTCATCCCATAATATTAAAGTCGTTTTCTCTATTAATTTTGCTAACTGAGTATTTTTTGTAATTTGACGTGTTGAAAATTTGTCAACTAAAAGAGGGATACGAAATCTTGAATGTGCAGTACGACCTTTTGGTAAAAGTAATGACGCTATTCCAGATAATGCTACTGCTAGTACTATTTCACCATTTGATCTAATTTTGCTAATAAGTGTTTCCTGTACCTCCATATCCATATGTGAAAAATAAGTTATCACATTTATTTTTATGTGAGTTTAAAATTTCATTATAGATATAATATTGTTCATAATATAAATTACTAACTAAATTTTTATTATCTTCTTTTAATTTGTTTCCATCATAATACAGTTCTTCTCCTAAAATTTAATTATCTAAATCTTCAATTAATGATTGAGTTGGAAGTGATAGATTAAAATGTGTTAAAGAAGATGAATTTAAATTTAATAATTTTTCTAATTCATATAATACAAAATTATATAATTTATTTTTTGGGATTTCAAATTTTGAATTGTTAAATAATTTCTTAATTTATACACAATATCGTCACACTTTAATTTCCAATGATTTTCTAATAATTTTATTTGATCAGATACATTACAAAATAATAATATAATAGTAAAAAGTTGACGAAATTGGGTAGATGTTGACGAAAAATGACACTTCTTTAATTGATTCATTTCATTCTTTATCATCTCCTAATAAGCCTAATGCATGACAGGCTTTTTAGTATGTTGGATAATTAATATTTTAATTAATTGTCCGAAGTGATTCATAAGTTTTTGCACCTTTTTGATGATTTAATAATAATTTTAAATAAAATAATTCACTAGAACTGAGAGGAATATGAAATATTCTTCTTATAGCATGTCCACTCTGTTGTTATGTCCAAATTTTGTCTCTATGTTTCCAAACCCATTTTGTTGGAAATTCTATGTATGTAAGTTGTCGAGCCTTTTCATTTATTTTATTAATTTGTATCCATTTAGTTAAAGCTATTTTTTTTGTTTTGCAGTAAATTAATTATATTATGTAATTATTGATTTTTATTAAATGTATTGTTATGCATGTTTGGTAAATAAATTAAAAGTTATTGAATAGCTGGATTTCTATGATGAACTGAGTTTTCAAATAATCTCCAAATTGCTTCATAAGGTGTAATATATCAACAGTTAATATGTGTTTTTATTTCATCAATTTCTTTACAATTTGTTTCGCCAGTATTTTTTGTAATGCTATTATTTTCGATAACAACTCTTATTCTGTTTGGCCCTTTTGTTAAATATTAAATAAATATTTTATGAGCATAGATTGAGAGCATATTTCAACATTAATATGAGCTTGATATTTTATACACAGAGTACAATTATATGGAACAATAAATTTATTATCAAGTTGAATTTAGTGCCGAAAGTTTGGGTCGTTAGGCCTGCCAGAGGCCCAAATTTTTCAGGCTCGGTGGGCAAGGACCCATGGCTGCCCGTCCAAGCACTAAAGCGGGCTCGGGCTGCCTGAGAAAAAACCGCATGGCGGAAGCCCGTCGCCGAATTGCCGCTTCCGCAAACGACTTTCTTTTTCCCTCTGGCCCAAATGGCCGATCAACGGCTAGCTTTTCAAATTTTGGTGCCCGACCCGACCCGCTGCCCGAATGCCTGACCCCTAACGGGTCTTTTTTTTACTGTTGCCTGATTTTCTGCCCGAACTCGACCCGCTGAGTGCAAAACTAGCTATTGGATCTGAATTTTGGGGGAAAAAATCAATTTTTTAACCCAAAAATTTCCCTATAAATACCCCCCCTCCCCCAAACATTTTCCTTACCCAAACTCTCTCAATCTCTCTCAATTTCTCCCAATCTCTCTCAATCTCTCAAATCTCTCTCACAATTTTTCCAAAAACTTACACAATATCCTAAAGCTCTCTCTTTCTCTCTCTCAAATCGCTCTTATTTTTTATTATGGTTTCTTTTAGTTACAGTGGTATTCCTGTTGATGCCCAACAGAACGTGGAAGAAGGGTAATTTCTGACTAATGAATTTATTACGCAGGAATCAGAAACATAAGCAACTGAGAAACCTGAAAATCCAAGCCGTGGTGGACGTAGTGGAGGTCGTGGTCGCAAAGGTGGTGGGCGTAGAGTAGAGGCAAGTGCAAGTGCTACAACAAGTGTTGCAAGCTCCAAGAGGAAATGCAAGCGCAGCTCAACAGTTTGGGATCACTTTGACACAATTGAGGAGGTCGACAATGACGGTAACACTAAACACATAGCTTAATGTAAATATTGTTATTCTAAATTTCAAGGTGACACCATTCACGACACAACACACTTGAGATGACACGCTGAAAAGTGTCTTCAAAAGCGTGGCCAAACCGGTGGAGCCGAACTCCGCCAAACACAATTATCTTTTGATCGCACAACCGGTGGTCTAACCACCTGGAAATACCATCCATAAGTAGATCATATGGAAGTTGCACGAATGATAGCTGTGTTAGATCAACCACTTAGTTTTGTAGAGCATCCTAATTGGCAGCGATATATTAAAGTTGTACACAATCCTAATGCACAGTTTACTTCAAAAACTACTCTTAGGAAAGATTTGTTAAAAGTATTTAAACAAGAAAAAGAAGCATTAATAAACCTTTTACACTCTACTAGCGGCTGTGTTGCATTAACGGCGGACATTTGGTCTACCATTGCCAACAAAGAATATTTATCTGTAGCCGGACATTACTTTAAAGGCTTCGATTTAAATAAGAGAATATTAGGTTTTAAATGTGTTCTAGGATCACATAGCGCCAATTTAATATATAATAGAATTTTAAATGTAATTGATGAATATGGATTAAGAGATAAAGAGATGGCTATAACATTAGATAATGCTAGTGCAAATACTAAAGTAATTGAATATTTTGAAAATGAATTAAGTTTATTCAGTGATGGTTTCATTTTTCACCAACGTTGTGCATACCATGTAATTAATTTAATAGTTAAATCCAGTTTAAAATTAATGTCTATTCTTATAAAAGCAATTAGAGATAGTATTGCATAGATTCAAGGTAGTAACTCATGCGAATAAGATTGGTTTAGGTTCTTACAAGTACTAAATCTAATTCCTAGAGTATTAGCCCTAGATATGCCTGTAAGAAGGAATTCAACTTATATAATGCTTCAACAATACATCTCCTATAAGGATGCTATAACAAACTATATTAGTGCAAAATTAGAAGCATGACGTATAGATGTATATGATCTGCAAATTGTCAAAATTTTGTATCA